GGCAATAATTTTGCATTTCAACTTGAATCATGTTCACACAATGATGGAGTTAAATATAAACTTCTTATCAGGGCATAATGATTGGTCTTGGTCAGACATGTGATAATACTGCTGATTATTCTTTGTTATTGGAAAAGAAGTGAAATGAACTCTTCATTCCTAGATACAGAAATGGCTGCCAGACCACTGAAGTGGTTTGTGTCTCGCTGACATTTCAAACACTTTGTTCAGTGTTACTGCTTCTCGTTCCAGTGAGGCAGTGAGGGAGAGGCCGTGAGAGTGAGAGATAGGGAGATGAACACTTTCTTTCATGAGTCTTGAGGAAAGACATGATTCTGAGGCATGCACACCACTACATTTTCACAGAAAGAGCCCAGTCATTCAGCAGAGATGACTCTCTGTATAAACATACCCCAGGACACACTGGGAAAAGCACAGTATCTTCTTATGGGGATTTACCCATAATTCACTCCAATATACACCAGGCCATAGAATTCAACTTCAAACAGGGTGTAACATATAACTCAGGAATGTACACAGTTCAACAAGAAGAAATGTTCCTGTCTGCCTGCATGAGCATGCAGCTGAGTGGTTCTGATGAGACTATGAATGTTACCCCCAAGACTTAATGCATGCATCACTGTCTTATGAGAGTGAGGAGGCTTGCATGTCTGGGCAGGTGTGATGAAGGAGGATTCTGCAGAGGAAACCCGAGATGTAAACCAAAAATGCAAACATGCAGCAAGGCATTTAATGTTTTTTTTTTTTTAGCCAAAAGAAAAACGTGAAGGCATGAAAAAGGAGCATCATATGGATAATGTGCTAAACAGCTGGAGTGAAGAGTCGCCAAGTGGAAAGGATATCGACGGTTCGATCCACAGGCCCGATTTACTTATAATTTAAAAACATATTGCTGATGATCTAAAGCTGTCTACAGAAGTGGGTCACAAACTTACAGTTCACCCTAGCCATACAGTATACCACCATAAATTGTACCTCCGTTACAACTGATGTTTACATACACCGACATTTGTAGCGTACCATATGAGGAATTAAAAATAATGCCAATGTGTGTGTGTGTGTGTGTGTTTGTATTTTTAACCACGTTTGAAACTTTGCCTAGACGGCACAACTGAAAGCAAAATATAAATCTTTATTATCTTGCTTTGTGTATAGCCTAAGCCTACTCACCCAGCAAAGCTGATAATCCTAATTAGTCACTATCAGATATCATCACCAGGCTGCTTGTCCGATATCATCAATTACCGATAATATCGTCATATTGTCCAGCCCTGCAGCAAACATGACATTCGATGAATAAAGCCAGTGCACAACTGAACACAGTCAAGATCTATTTAAATTAAACTAAGGTTTAATTTAAAGTCTAAAGAGACCAGTGTTTTTACTGATCAAAGAAAAGTCATTCTGTGGACTTTATGAAGTTTTTGATGATGTGTTTGTGCAGGATAATAAGAAAAGGTTTTGGAAGATATGTTTCGGAAGGAATGACTGTCTAAACATCCATGTAAACAAGCAGACTGGCTCCGCTGTAGCGACTGATGATGTTCTACAGACATCACCAGTTAGGGGTCAGTAGCCTAGAAACCAGGAGCTCATTTATAAAGGCTATATATAAACAAAAAAGACAAGAAACATTTGCACACACATTTCTCCGAAGATTTTGGGATTTATATGGAAACTTTTTCTGTTCCTGAAAAGGTTCACACATTTACGAAATTATGAATGATCCAGCCAAACTAATGTTTTAGAGGGAATAGAAAATGCAACATCTGGAGAAATGTTCTTCTAAGATGCATATTACAGTTAGTTTTAACACTTGGTGAAATGCATCTTAATAAACACAGAAACATTTTTATTATATCTGATATACAACTAGCATCTAGCATTTCTGTTGAGTGAATGAATATATTTCATTATATCTTTATATATACCAATATATTTAGAAATACATTTATTGTGTCCAGTTGTGTGTAGTGAAAAGCCGAAGTATAGGCACAGCATGCATGTACCCACATGTAATAGGTATAAAAAGGCCGTGTGTAAGAATGCAACACACAACAATATCGTGGCATAATTATCTTTGACATGAATATGAAATATGAATGGAGGGAGGAGATCTTAATGATTATTTGTGGCTTATCAGTCATTTTGCAATATCAAGAGCGATTCTGATGGAATTGTGTGATGTGTGAGGAACATACCGCACCAGTGGGAATTGCCTGACAGATTAGGGATATCCCAGTCCACACTGGGTTCCAGTACTCCTCAAGTAACTGACTATCAGGACAGTATATTAAGTATCCCTATGGCAATTTGCAGCAATGACTGGCTATCCTAATGTATTCAGTGCTACTAACTGCACACACATTGCAATAAAAGCACCGTTAATATAAGCTGCTTTTGTGAAAAGAAAGCAGCTTCATTCCATTAACGTACTCATGCTATTAACAGCATGGTTTTAACAAATGTTACACGTTGGCCTGGATCCACGCATGATGCTTTTATTTTTAGAAACATTCATGTTAGTCATAATCTTGAGGCTGGGGCACACCCAGGGCACACATACAGACAGAGTACAGTGCAAAAGACTTAGGTAGTCAAAAGAAATGTGTAAAGCTAGTTATCCGGGTAGTAAGTGCACTTTTGCTCAGAACAATAAACACAATATAGCGTTAGAACATGTGCAAATTACCACAATAAAAACTAGTAAGAATTTCTTCTGTTTTCCAAAACGTTACTGATATCTAGTTGGATGGCTGGATGAACATCACTTCAGTTCCCAAACCTCTCCTCAGGGACACCTCAGCCGTTCCATTAATTCATTACATCTGACCCCCAGCTCACTTAACTGATTAATTTAATTAGTTTATAAAAGTCAATGAGATATCGATTAGCTTTATGAAGTGTTCTAGTGGTTGAGTCAAAAAACACACGGCTGTATTGGATGGTTGCTGGAAACGAAGGGGGGTCTTTGAAATGACTAAGCTAGCAGACTTTCACACCAACATGAAGATCATATGGGCATCATTTGCAACAAGAAAAAAATAATTTGTTAGGGGTGAGAGCTCTGTGGGTTGGGACACAGAAGGTTGCTGGTTCAAATCCCTGCATCAGCAGAGTGATCCCACCATTGGGCCCTTGAGCAAGGCCCTTAACCTGCAGGGATTGGCTGACCCCACTGTCTCCTCTACGCCAGTTTCATGAGCAGGCCTCCTGTGATGCTTCTCCAGCTGTCCTGAAGGGTGTCCCATATGATCTGAGCTCTCATTGCCTGCTTTTCTTTCACTCTCTGGTCAAACTCCTTCAAAACCGTCTCTGTTGTGTCTCGGTCAGGTGCCTCTGTCAAGTGATGCAACACTATCCCTCTCCTTTGTAGCCGGCTTGGTGTTTCCAGACTTTTGACTAATACTATATATTTTGTGCTTCTAAGTTGCATTTACAGTTTAGCGAAATGCACGGTAATACATACAGAAACATTTATTATATCTAATCTACAACTAACATTCAATATTTGTGTTGAGTGCATCCAAAGTTAGAGATGTGTGTACTGAAAAGTCAAAGTATGTACCAACATGTGTGCACATGTAACAGGCATGTTAAGGAGCGTGTGTAATAAGGTCACATGCAGCACATGTCAGGAGAACAAAGGAACAAAGACACTGTAACATTTACAATGGCAGACTGAGGAGCAGGACAAAAAGCAGGCACTTAATGTCACAAATAACTAGAGCTATCAAAAGGCAGGTGTGAGTCATCAAGGCAATTAACCAATGAGCACAGTACAAGGAAACAAGCCACAGGTGGAGAAACTTAACAATTAACATGCACAGAAAATAGGGAACTTAATACCAAAAACTAATAAACATTAGCTACATACCAGGGGGGTATTTTTCATACGTGGATTTAGCCAGATGTAATTGTTGACAATTTGGCATGATCCTGGATTTTGTCGGTTTTTCGAAACACTTGCTGGATGTGTTGTCATAGCAGCACATCCAAACCCTCAAACCTGCTCAGAGCAGGTTTGTTCTATGTAAACAAGGATTAGGCCAAGTTTAGAGATGGTGCTAGTTTGAGTTTGACTTTTTTGGGAAAGTTTTGCTTTCTTTAGCTACTTTCATTGAATACCCCCCAGGGAAAGATCTTTTGGGAATCTGTTCCCACACGTCAGATGTTCCTTGAGACAATGCTTAAATAAGCGAGACAGTTACATGGTCCGGAGCAGACTTGTTCACTCGCCTAAGTTACAATGGTAGCTTTGCAGGGATTCATTTAAGACATGTTGATGGTTTGTAAGTAGAGGAGCGTCTGTACGGGTTTTATAAATCCGACTATTACTGTTCTTACGAACATTCCCTCAATTGCAAAAACGTACGAATACACACACACACACACACACACACACACACACACACACACACACATACAGGTTTGTAATTATATCTTTGTGGGGACTCTCCATTCCTTACTTGGGAATTTTTGGTTCCTCTCCTCCTTTGTCTTCTGGCTTTCTTTATTTAATTTCTTTCCTTTCTTTTTCCTGTTCTGTATTACTCTCCAATGATGTTTTATGTATCACAAGACATCCATGTAAAGCGATTTGGGACGACTCTGTTGTCAAAGGCGCTATATAAAAATAAATTGAATTGAGTTTCTATGGGGAAAACTATAATCCCTACATGACGACTTAACGCTTAACCCCTATCCAGCCCTAACCTTGCCCATAAATAACCAGACTACATATGATACTTTTGGCGTTTTTATTTTTTTGATTGCATTCACAAATCGTTGTGGGGACCTTGAAAAATGGTCCCCACAATGTCAAAATAACAGGTTAGTATATAAATCTAATCACACAGACACAGACAGACACACCACCCACCCCAGTTTATCTTGTTTTTATAGTGTTTAGTACTAGATCTAGCACGTTCCTGACCCGTATACATGCACTTATATTTAAGCAGACATTCATTCAGACTTAACAGCACATGCATTGTTGCCCAGATGCAAGTGCAACCTTACGTGATGTCCAAAAAAATCCATCAGTTAACAAACATTGTAATTTGACTTTGACTTAAAATGTGGGGGTGTGAGGGAGGTACTACACACCCCATAGTGTCCTGCAAACCTGAAGTAGGACGTGTTTAAATGATGCGTATAAAAGCTCTTTAGAAATCGGGCGCAAGTTCAGAAACGCCTTGTTCTGCACACTTGGAGTGGAAGAGAGGCAGGATCAAGGCTGAGAAAGTGAGGTAAACGAGGGACGCTCGGCAAATACAGGAGGGTGAAGTCCCGTCCTGAGTTAAAGGCTGAAGTGTTGCAAGTCCCGTCCAGCGTGGCTGAGAAAAGAAAAGCCGGAGTAAGGACGCAGGTGTTTGCGGAGTGACTAACTGGACAAAGCACAAAATGAGACGGAAAGAAATGGTATCGCAGCGACATGGGTTGTGCAATTGTGCCTGAATGTTAAGCCGCTGTACATTGTCCATGCCCACCAATACCGAGGAAAGGAGCGCGGATCTCGAGGAGGACAGGCGGTTCTGGAGCACTGGACACCGATTTTGACAAAGCTTCTGCGTGTTTCCCAAATTTTTTTTCCAAAAAGTTATCTTATTGTATACAAAAGCTGACCTGCAAATGGATAGCGTACTTTTACTGACGTGGATTTTCATGGGTGCGTTTCTCCAGCCGATTAATACGGAGAAGTCGGAGCCGGACGCAGGTGAGCTTTACATTTTGAAAGACGGGTTACATCAAGATAAGAGCGGAAGAATCTAAAGACAGTGGGGGGAAAAAAGATTGTATATGGAAGAATTCATTACAGGCCAGCTGTTGCTCAAGGAACACAGTGTAATTGATTATAAAGCATTTAATCCTTACTGTCTATGATATGCACTTGGTTTGTATTGGAATTGACAATGCTGATAGAGGATTCTTGGAAATCAGAACTCTAAATATTAGGTATAGCTGTGACAATATATTCCTGCAATTTTCTGTTAGGTTAATTTAAATGTTTCATACAAAAAAGTGCAATAAAATAATTATGCCTGGAATGGTATTTGGGAGATAAAAATAACGCCAGTAACCAGATCAGTATAATTTTCTGTAGTATGATTACTGACTAAAAGGATATTTAACTGAAGGTTAATTAATTAAACTGAGTACAGTGATGTTACTCATAAACACAGTGATGTCACCAGTTAGCTGGTCCTGCCGCTTGTTTAGCTGCAGCTAAAGAAAATACCCATTAGAAAACTATATGTCATAACTGTCTAACAACTGAATAATAGTTGTGTTACACCAAAGAACCAAATAGACGACCAGATGAACTACTCTCACTGTAAATACCAGATAGTGGCTGCTTAGAGTAATTATAGGAGCCTGCAGGCACACAAGGGCTGGCCTGTAGGCCTATACTTAGATTTCAATGTCTCTAAATGAGGTATGTAGTTTATTAATAATGCATATTGTGTAGTACTATTAGTGTTAATTTGGGTACAGCGACTTAATTGGGTAAATCATCTTAATTACAGCTGACCTAACTGGCCAATGTTTGTTGCTTGCCACAAACATTAAAATTAAAAATTGAATTCACCACCAAGGGCCATTAATATCCATGGGAATGTCCAAGGAAGATGAGTTTTTAAAAAGCAGGTGGTGACACTCGGCACAGGCTCCTGTCGTTCAGCTGCTAGCTGGTTGGACAGGAATGAACGAATTAAAAATGAGATTTTCTGCTGTGCTGCTGCAGTTATGGACATAGAACAGAAAGCTGAATTCATTGTTGATGTAACAGCAAAAGCTCTGTTTTCCTGTACATCTAAAGGTCATGAGGCAGATATTGCTGGACGTTAATGACTGTGCGGCATTATGAGTCAGGGGACCCGTCCCATTGGGGATCAGGATTCTTTGCTACCGAAGGTTAACGATCCCACTTGAGGCCCTAGTGCTTCTCAGAAGCATGGAAGCTTTTAGTGGGAGGTGAAGTAAGTGTCTACTCATGCCACCCTCCCACCCCCTTCGCCTTGCTTGTAAAGTTCCTCTAACTTGGGCCAAAGCTGACACACTAGGTTCCACCCTTTTACTAGCAAGACTATGTTTCTATGTGCTTTTTCAGGTTTATGATTAACAAGAAGTTCATGCATCTTATCTCTGGGTGATGAGTGTGGAAAGAAGAGGTTACGCTCATAGAATACTGCAATGTGCCCAAACCTTTGATACTTAAGGTATAAAACGTCAATGTAGCTGCTTCAGTATGGGCTAGCATGTATAAAACTACTTACGTAGTTTGTAGGGTTTAGATCAAATTCATAATTGTATATGTTCGATGTTTGTGGTCAGGTTCTCGACAGTGACTTTGTGTGACTGACTGCTGTGTCAGCCGTGCTGCGGATGAATATTTTAATACATGGCTACTAGAGCACATATAGATGAAGATTAACCATGAAAATGCTTATTAGAATACATTTCATAATGACCCAATGATATATGAAGAAACATCAGAATGTATTTGGGGTAGAATGACTGGTGTGTGGCATCCAAACGGAGGTGGAGAGGGAGGAGACGGCCGAGGCGCCTTAAGAAGCACAGAAGCTGCATTCCTCCTCCCACTTGGAGTTTAAGGCCAAAGTTCCCTCAGGCTGGCCAGAGCCACGGAATTCCTCAAAGGGCTGACAATCTCGACAAAGACAGAGAGCAAGTAAACAGCGAGGATTATATACGAGGAGGGGATCTCGAGGTCTGCCCTTTTACGGACTCACTCGGAAAGGCACGAGATTGATAGAAGCTGTTTGGTCACCGTCATGTTTCGTTTCCAACGTGGGTAGCGTACGGACAAGCGGATGAAATAACGATTCACCTAATGTGACAATTCATGAGCGGCGACAAACATGTAGAATTTCAATGTGAAGGTGTTAGGTGGATAAATGGACAAATCGATGAATGGACATGACTTGACGTGACAATGCGACTGTATACCATTTTGAAGATTGCACCTATATGTAATTATACTGAAGTATTTCAGGTTAAGTCTAATACTCAAAGGTACAGCAGCTCTGTCCCCCATTATGTTTGGACTTCCAACTGTTGTAATGCGTAAGTCATTCATTACCAGAGAAACTGCCTCCAGTTTAGTATTACTTTTGTATGCTTGTGCTGCTGTGCTGTCTCTGTCCTTCATGTTTATGTGAAGCACCTCACTGTCTGGTCTGATTGATGCTGTTTAAGCTTCACCTTTCTATCTCGTGTGATGAACTCTCCTCTCATTGTTGGTGGAGGGTTAGAGTACAAGCAAACCCAGACACACATGCTGGATATTGCTTCCTTGAAGACCTTTGGTTTTCTTGAAGGCCTTTGGTGGCACAATTTCCTGTTCATGCTTATCTCACTTATGTAACACCCATTGCTTTCTTAGAATCTCCCCAATTCTTGTAGCTAACCCCCTACCAAAGAGCTCCTCTTGGTTGTCTCCTCAGTATGTCGGTCCAGGTTCTTGATTTCCTTCCCTCTTTCGATTTCCTTACTCTGTTCTCTCACTGATAAAGCAAAGTGTGAACGCTTTACTTCTGCATCCTTGTCGATGTGGAGGAAGGTGGTGTGTAAGTCTGCCTGCTTACACATGGACTTCTCAGTACAAACAATGACATATAATAACAGCACATCCAGCCCTCTATTTTCTAACAGTTCGTGTCCAAATAGTCACTTTTCCAGTCCCTCGAGTCAAAATTTCCCATTTCCAAAGACCATTTTTTATGTCCAAACTTTTTTGTTCGGAAATGAGGCAAATCGGGGATGAGAGGTTTTTGGCTTCATACAAACCCCTTAGAAGCTCCTGTGTTTCATTCATCAGCATCAGCACTGTCTCCAGGCACCAACTGACCGCTGGTCCCTCACCTCTGGTCTCTGCCCCCGTACATATAGTTGTTTTATGACTTGCCTTAGGATGTTTTGTCACTCACCCATTCATCCATTTACCGATTCCATTGTGGGGGGGGGGGGTCTTTCCCAGGCAGCCTAGAGCAGGGGATTCCAGGGGGGATATATGCGCACTGCAGGCCGTTTACACACAGCGGTTACCCTAACAGCATGTCTTTGGACTGCAGAATGAAACTAGAGTACTGCGCACAACACGGAGTGAACGTCCAAATTCCACATTCGTTTGCTGCGGGATTCAACCTGGGAAGTGCAGGGTAACAATGTTACACACTAAGCCACCCTTAAAGACAAAACACCATTTATACTTCATTTTATTTATACATTATTACATGACGTTACTAGTTAGCCTTTAAGGAAATTATGCAAAACATTGACTATATTCTTAATAATTATGTATCTATAGGTTCATTTTTAAGTGTTGGTCTGGAATGCATAGTCATTTTCACCATAATACGTATCATGGAAGTTCTCAATTTCCAAATGTTCACCTTCTGAACTAATTTTATGGAAATAATTAGATTTATAAGTCAAAGGATGAGAGCTTGTTACACTCCTTTCTGAGAACAGTGTAGCCAGTGCTGCAGTGTAGCCAGTGCTGCAGTGTAGCCAGTGCTGCAGTGTAGCCAGTGCTGCAGTGTAGCCAGTGCTGCTTTCTGCCCTGCCTCAGCTGGTCCCTTTCGTTGTTTCATCTGTTACTCTGCACCTTCCTGTGCAGCTCCATTCCTGCCTCCACCATTATCTCTAAGTCTCAGGCATTTGTCTGTAAATCTATAAATCTGCCCCCCCCCCCCCCCCCAGCCGTATCAGTAATCCGGCCTTCCTCTCTCCACCTCCTTCTCTTCCTCAGTGTTAAGCTGCTGTGAGGGTGACCTCCTCTTCCTGCTCGACTCCTCGGGCAGCGTTTCGTCCTACGAGTACGCGCAGATGCTGAGCTTCCTGTCTGAGCTGCTGTCCCCCTTCTCGTTGGGCGCCGACCAGGTGCGAGTGGCGCTGCTGCAGGTGGGAACCCAGCCGCGCCTGGAGTTCGGTTTCGACACGCACACGAGTCAGCAAGGCTTGCAGGAGGCCCTGAAGGCTGCCAAACAGGTGCGCGGGGACACCAATACAGAGGCGGCCCTGAAAATGGCTCAGCAGGTGCTCCGGCCGGGCGCGGCCGGCGGGGGGCGGCCGGGGCTCCCGCGGGTGCTGCTGTGGCTCACCGACGGCTTGCAGCCTGGGCCGGTGGAGGCTCCGATGGCGGCTCTGAGGCAGGAGGGCGTGGCAGTGCTGGCTGTTTCCACGGGACACAGCAACTACAGAGTGCTGCAGCAGGTGGTTACCCCGCCCACTGACAGCCACCTTTACTTCGTGGACATCGATGACATGAGCATCATCATCAAAGAACTGCGGGATGCCATCATCGGTGAGGGCAACGTGCCCGGAGAGGCTCGGGTGGCTGGGGGGCGCCAAATCATATTAATAGCATCTGTTGAAACACTATGCCGCTGATACACTGAGCTGGGCTGCATGAAGTCACAGCTAACGGTCACATCCTGCCAGACAGAAGGGGCCACAGAAGACGGAGAAATACTGGAATGGAAGAGAGGGGCTATTAATAAAGACCCCCCCCCACCACCTTGGCCACCATTTCTTGCACCATGTATGCTAGAGGGGGGTATTTATAGAGGGCTTCTCTATGGCCAGGAGCAGAGTGGCCAACTGAAATGCAGAGACCCACATAGCAGTGGGTCTGTGCACCAACATGCAGCTAAATTCAACGCTCAAGACAAGAAACTGAACGACATGTCAGTCTAGGCTATTAGTCCTCAGACGTTGTGATCAAAGTTCACGATTTTGCAGATTTTTGCTCTACGTCAGGAGGTCCGGAACAATGTTCAATGACAGAACAGCTTTTCATGATCTATTGTTAAAGAATTAACAGTAACTTTCGATATTATATATAAATATATAGCAATAATGGGAACATAATGCAAAGACTGGTTTTTAACTCTCACTGATTGTTTCGACATTGTCAATCCATGGGGAGGGAGGAGGATTATGACGACATGTGTGTGCAAAGTTTGGTGGTTCTATATTGTATTTTTGTACTTCAAACTGCTTTAAGCCTTTTTACATTAATCATATTGATTCTTAAGGTGCATTATCGGCTGGGTCTGGATTAACTTGCAGTTCGGTCTGCATCAGGAGTACCGCTGGTGTAGGTTATAGATGACTGCCGCACATTTATACGTGGTCTGCATTGCCAGTGATTCTATACCTCTTATACCCATGATGCATCTGTCTTCCGCTGACAGAGATCATCCGGGCTCAGCGACTGCATGTGCGGGACGTGACCACCAGAAGCGCCAGCCTTCACTGGCGGCCCGTCCTGAGCGGTGGTACCGGCGTCTACAACATTCAGCTTGACCCGGTTATACCCGGGGAAGCAGGAGAAGGAGCTGGAGGAGGGGATGGGGAGCGCGATACCAGTTCCAGCACTGGAGGGCCTCAGCACCAGAGGCTGACTCGCCCAGCAGATGCCAGCCAGGCTGAACTTAGACACCTGCTGCCTGGTACCACCTACAAGGTCACGCTGACCACACAGCCCAGTGTGGCAGCAATGGAGCCCCTCACTGCCACCTTCACCACTCTGCCAGGTAGGTGAAGCGGCCAAGCCATCACTTTGGGCTCGCAGTTCCATCTCTACCTTCCTTCATAACCCCATCCACCCTGGCCTTTCTACTCTTTTTACCCCAGTGTCCCCAGAGCAAGAGGTGCTGAGCCCAGCTGTCGTGACAGTGTCAAATCCAGGCATGCGGAGCGTGAGGGTGAGTTGGGGTCCTCTGCAGCCAGAATCGGTGAAGCTCTATGTGGTGGAGTATTCGGCCTTGCCGCAGGGGAAAGTGCGTGCCACCACCGTCACCCGGGACCATAACTCCACCCTGCTGACCCAGCTGCAGCCTGACACGCAGTACCTCGTCACTGTGAGTGCGCTACACTCATCCGGCCAAGAGAGGGCGATGTCTGTCAAGGTGTGCACTCAAGAGGGTAAGTAGCGTTGTGTCGTCTTATGTGTGCTTATGTGTGTTTATATCTACACTCTACTGTTTTGTTGATATGACTGTTAAAAAAAATATATATTAAAAAATATATATTACATGCATGCAAATACACTCCATAACAGTATTGCACAGCGCGATGGCAATGATTAGGAGATATTAGATTTCCAGGTGAAACATAGTAGGATTTCATTAGTGTCCCCCTTTTAACGCAAAATTACTCTGAGAAGTGTGCAGTAAATTACAAGGCATGTTATTTCTCTGTAAATGTTTGCAATGCTCAATACACAGCCTTAGTATTGAGATGAATTGATTCAGTGTATTGGTAGAGTGCAACAAAACCTGCTGTGTAAGAGAAGCCCAGACATGCTGGGCGTCACAGGATGGTATGTTTTTAGCCCTTTAGCCTTAGAACAGCCACCTTGACCTCTGCTCTGTGTTCACCGGGTCTCTCCTTCCCAGAGCTGCTCCCGCTGGCCGATTTGCAGCTGACTCCAGCGGGTCATGACTCGGTGCAGGTTCAGTGGAAGGGCAGTGTGGAGGGCCTTCAGGGCTACTGGGTCACCTGGCAGGGGGCCGGTGAGAACGTCAGCTCCTCTCGGTTCCTCCCGCGAGGCACGCTTTCCACACTGCTGACAGACCTGCCCGCCGCCGGAGCTCGCGTTTGTGTCTCGCCCGTCTACCGCACTGCCCGAGGAGACGGACTCTGCTGCACCGCCCGCTTCCATCCCGGTAAGCTGCTCTACCTTCTGCAAGTACAGTCGGCCCTTCCACATGGTGGGGGTTAGGGGTGCAGGTCCCCCGCAATCTGGGAAAACCACGTAGCCAGACCCTCTTGGGGTCTGCTCAGTGAATGAAGCGAAACGTTTCAGATTTGAGTACAGTGTAGGGCGCTGAAACGGCACAAAAATTATGATTCACTAAACTTGTAATCTGTCATCTGCTGACTTTTGAAAAACGTTCTTATGCCAACCCCACGATATATCAAAACTGCACTGCAGAAGGGTCGACTGTACACTAGTGCCTGCCTGTAAACATACTTGATATATCACAGGTCTAGCTACTCAATCTTCATGACTCATAGGCTCATCGTTACCTTTTCGTTCCTTATCATAGATCCATCACCCTGGACTTACAGCCCTCACAGCCTCGCCCAATCACATGCTTGACAGACAGTGCAAGGGCCATGAATTCCAGGAGGGGCTGCGAAGGACTCAAATTTCTGACACTGGACAGACATGGAGAGTCCCGTGCACATGCTCGCCTGGTAAAACACGATTGGTTTGAAGCTGCCAGAGCTCCTGCTTCCAGAAGAGGGCACAATTCCTACTTAAAGCTGTAAACGCTGGACTGGAATCATTTTAACTCAGCAACTGACCACCCGCATTCTCATTGGCTCATCATTTAGACACGTAGGCGCACACACAGACAAACATGAACCCCCGGGTATCAGTGCATCTCTGATTCATCTCTGATTTTCATATCTCATATGAGAAACTGTTGAAAACTTCCACATTTAGTGCCACCTACACGTTTTGCTTTCTTACCACCTATTCTACGGCAATCTTTCAATTAAGACAACAGGTAACAAGGACTCTGCAGCTGTCCTCCAAGTAGTCTTGCTTTCATTTCCCATGATATTTGTAAAATATAAATGTCTATTTCAGTCCCATGTGTTTTTTGGTTAAGTCCACATTTCTTAATAGGCTTTAGAAAGTCTCAACTCAGGCTGGGCATTTGCAGGTGCTATAAATTATTGACAGATCTCTATAAGTTGCTTCAGCTGAGCAATGCATGTACTTTATGTACCAGATCAGCTACAAGTAACAGTTCAGAGTTGGTCCTGGTGAAACATGGTGCTCGTAGGCTTTTGGGATATCCTTTAGGAAGCTCAGCATAGAGTCGACATGAGCTAAGATGCAGTAGGATCAGCAGCATGGCTGTGTACGCTGGCTTAACTTGCAGCTAAGCTGATAGATGAGTTTGGTGGTGCTTTTCATGACAGTTATATGATTTAGTGTTTAGTGAAGCAATTGAGCAAGTATACTCAGAAAGATAAGAGCATGAAATTATTATTAGGATGTAGTATTTTAATGCTTGTGCATAATACAAATGTAATATGGACTAATTCAATTGTTAAGTAACTATTTTGATACTTTTCAGATGCCACTTTGTCTTCACACTAGAGAGAAACTTCCCCTATTTTTTTTGCTAACATTGATTAAGTCATTTAAAGGATTTTTGTTTTCATTTCCAAACATCTACCATGCATGTGTTATCTACATTTTTGTAAAAAAAAAAAAATCTCAAAAAATATTTATACATTGTCATGGCATTTGAATGTGTTTGTGTCCTTAACAAATAATGATTTGTGGATTTGCCAAAAAATGTTGTGCTAGCTCATCTTTGTTTGAATATTTAAATGTCTTTTTCGTATAGCAGTGATGGAAAGAATAGCATGTAATAAAAATAAAGGATATCTGCACAAACAAACATGAAAAGTATTTACTCCCAGGGCCCATATCACACAGCTAAATTTCTTGCTTAGCCAGATAACTTGTCGGATTTAAGGTAGTCTGGGCTAAATGTAATTGAACGAAGATGAAGCCCACTTACACCGGGGTACCTTAAATCTAGCAAGTTATTTAGCTAAGCAATAAATCTTGCTTCCTGATGCAGACCCCTGGTAGCTGCTATTTCAGTCCAGTTAATAATCATGTCACAATTAAAAATGAGAACATCTAAAGCACTAAATTATGATGTCAGCTGAAAAAATAGTATCCTAAGCCAGATGCTGTATAGCCAGTGTAAACAGAACAAATGTTTTGTGACTTGGAAGCATATTTAAAAGTTAAACCATACATTAGGATCTAGTTATGAAAAATTGACTACCAAGATAAATTAGAGCTCCTTTGCAACCTGGAACTGGGCTATTCTGAACTTGTCCTTCTGGAAATCTGTCTAAAAATATGCTGGAATGTGATTTTGAAACCACACTTCACTGTTGAGGTTGGCTAACCAGTCCTGAGTCTGGCCCATACCAAGCTGTTTTTTAAGATGGACTTTTCAAACACATAAGATCCCAATCCCCACAGAAAACTATTTGCAGTGTTTTGCTGGAGTTAGTCTGGTATCTTGTGTCTCATCTACACCTACTGGGGAGTATTCCAAAAAGCGGGTTTGGGTTTAAATCCACTTAAATAAGCCTATCACAACTTAAAAATAATAATCAGTTCCAGATAACCTGGTTATGACTCGGATTTAATGCTAACTGAAGCACAGTCTCACAGAACAATAAAAAGCTGAAAAAGGGATTTGCCAAGGGAACGGACGCCAAAAAGTGAACAGCTCCATTCTATCCATTGTTGGAAATACAAATATTAACATCTGCTTATGCTGAGTACGGATTTGTTCTAAAGGGAAAGTAACACTGCAGCCGCAGAAAAGGAGAGGCAAACACACGCAACTAGTCAATGAGTAAGTAGATCACTCTAATTGTATTTATAATTCATCAGACCAATGCGGTCGAAAACAATGTCTAACATAAGGGATGGAATATTTTACATGAACGGTTCACTGTATGTACATTGTACTGTGTATTTATGGGAACATATTTAACATAGTTGCTTTGCAGTTGCGACAAAAAGAACTTGACAGCAAATACAACATTCGTCTAACTATAGACTATGGCTAATGATTAACTTTTATTCTGTATCGAAGCGGAATGCAGCTGAGCAGGGAAGTGACTAGAGATTTTGGGCCCCATGAGAGAACATCATATGTGGTCCCCAAGCTAGACCAGTCCAATTATCTTCCAAATATTAAGGATGCATGTCATTCAGGGCTCCTGGAATTGTTGTAACTTTCCTCAATTTTATGGCACCTAGTAACCGAGGGCTGCATAACAGGCAGAGGGCTGCTGGCACGATCGTGGTCACCCCATGATGGAAGGAATCCCAGGAAGCAGCTCTTCAGAAGTGACAACACTCCAGGATACACACATTAGGTTTGTCACATTTATAGAATGAAAAAAAAATGGAATCGAAGAGCAAATTTCCAAAACTCAGTCCATTTTTTTATTGTTTATGAGATACGACCACTAATGATCTGAAAGCAGGCTTGCTTGTCATACGTTACAGTAAAATTCACTCAGTGCTCAGGAATGGCATTTATTGGTCTAGTGTAGGGGTGTCACACTGCAGTCCTGGGGGGCCGGAGCTCTGTGTAGCTTAGTTCTTTCCCTGTTACACCACAAGAGCTGTGTGGTGATTAGGACAAGGAGTTGAATCAGGTGTGTTAAATGAGGGGAAACCCAAAAATGTGCAGGGCTCCGGCCCCCCAGGACTTCTGTTTGACACCCCTCCTCTAGTGGATCCTCCTGCCACAATTGAGCCTCTTGCTTTATAGGTGATGGAATATTCCTCAGATTTTGCCTGTTAGTTCTGAATGTTGCATAAATTAAAGCACTTATTAAAGGATGAATAGTAGCCTCAACAGCCAAAAGCCGCTGGAATACCAGTTAAGTGAGTTGTGTGGTTGTCAAAAGATGGATAACTTGTAACTGCTTGACCAAGTAAAAAGTGTCATTTTTATTTGCAGGTGATAAAGAGATTATGTTTGAAACTAGTGAAATCGTCTTCATTTCATCTATCGTGATGGTTATGAGTGATTGCTATTAAAAATGGTGATTTGCCCTGATGTCCCTGTGAACTCTGCCATCTCTGAGGTCTGCAAGGTGGGGGGGGGTTGTTATTCCTCTGGCTTAGTATGTGGTACACCAGGAGGGGACTCTTGTCTGATTGTGACAATATTGTGCAGTGCCTAACAGTGCTAACAGTGGCATAGCAGGGAATCGTGGGCCTCCTCAGTACATTCTGCCAAATGAAAGAGGAGCTTCTCTTAGGCTAGAGGTGTGTGTTCGACAATATTAGACTGAAGGATTAAAATGGTGCCATAATGTCTTCATGGAGAGATCATTAGTATTACACTATAGTGCACTATAGTTCCGTCAGCTGCAGTCCTATGGCTCATACATGCAGCAGAAGTTATCAGCCAAATCTTTTCCATGCACCAATAAGCTGATAACAGAAATTTGCGCCTTCATCCCAACATGCAATGCGCAACATGAAACACATACAGTAGCCCGTTTGGCAATGTAGTGGACAACTAGGAAAAGCAGGTCCCCCCAAAAAAGAATTTGACATCGGTAATATAGAACTTGTTTATATTTTCGAAAACCAACAGTTATTGGCAAAATTTGCAAATAACATATGTTGACCGTTTCTTGAAGAAACAGGCACGGCATCTCAAACTGCCCAAGAAGCCCTGAGCTTCTCTCAGGTAATCCTGCTCATGAGCAAGTCTGATTCACCCCATTAGTGACACGTATTCTGGAAACTATAATGGAAACTGCCCAGGTTTGAGCTACTAATTCAGCTGCTAAACCTGGTACCTGGAACAGCCCCCTGGAGGAAACTTAACATCAACAAATCTTAAGATCTCCCTCATATCGCTCTTTCATCTTATGGAACAGTTTCATATACAGCTACCTCCAAATATACAGATTTATTCCCCAACACCAGCTGCCTGAAGCTGTACAGCATCCACAGCACGTCTGTTCTCCCTACAGTTCAGTTCATCGCTCCAGAAATTGAGGCATTTAACGTATTTCTACACCATCGGTTTTTGTCCACTTTCCAGCAGTGGCTTCTTATCATTGGTACATTGCAATAACTATAGATTTCAATGCTCCTTTCTCCTTTATTGCAGTAAGGATCTACCAGGTTTGGATGCTGTTCAACCGAATAGTTACTTCAGCATTAGTTCAAATACAAGAACTCGTGGCCATAGGTGGAAATTAGCGGGAGAACATTTCAAACTGGATTTAAGGAAGCACTTCTTTACACAGCATGTAGTCAGAGTACGGAATAGTCTTCCTGATAACATAGTGCAAGCTGAATCCTTGGGTTCCTTTAAATCAGAGCTAGATAAGATTTTAACAACTCTGAGCTATTAGTTAAGTTCTCCCCAAGCGAGCTCGATGGGCCGAATGGCCTCCTCTCGTTTGTATAGTTCTTATGTTCTTATGTTCTACCCCAGTCACCACAAGCTTCCCTTTCCACATTACAGAGGCTGTGAAAATGACTGACATTTTATTTTATTCCAAAATGATATATATATGTACACACACAGTGTGTTTTCTCTGTAAGGAATACTAACAATCCAATTTAATACAATTTAACCCAGAATAGCACATACTTCTGAAAAGCATGCTGTCAGATCAAATGAAGAGTTGTACAGAGAGTTGTTTATATCACATTAAATTGGTTTTATCTTTGGTCTTGGAGAGGAAAAACTGGTGGTATTAAACAGCACACTCCCAAAGCTGAAGATAATATATACTGCACACTCACAACCAAAGACAGAGACTCGGTGTTTTGGGGAAAAACAGTTTGTGAAATCACAGTCTTCAAAATAAGTCCCAGCTCAGAGGCCGACAAATCAGTTTTTCACCCAGACTGGTTCTAGATGCTCAACGTGTTTAAAGCTGGTACTAGGGTAACTGGCTCTGCAGAGTTAAGGTTCTGGTCCTGGGGTGACCTGCTCTGTAGGACCTTCTGCCGGTGCCGATCTTCCTGCCTCTTCTTCTTCTCCAAACGCTGCTGCTCCTTCCTTTGCTTATTTGATATCTAACAGTGAAAAATGAATTTAAATTTTAACCAAACTGCCAAGTTGAAACCAACATTTCAACTAACACTGTTGATTCCTGTGAAGTCACAAAGGAAACAGAAATAAAAGAGGAAATTTGTGATACTCCCATACACATATGGCCAGTCTATAGTGAATAATTATTTTTTTTGCATGAATTCCAAAAGCTCAAATGCTGTGAATTTTTCAACTATGAACACTTCTAAGTGTCATAGTTTTGTGTTTAATTGTGTCAGCGCTCTCTCTTTTAACAAAGTTGAATTATCCTATAATACTTGCAGCAATCAGCAACATCATTTATACATGTGTGGGTGTGTATAATAGGTCGATGTGAAGATGCTATCATTTCGGGAACAGAGGATGAACACACCAATATGTTGCTCAATGCGGACCCAGTTAGATGTTAAAACGAGCTCTTAAGTTTTTAGCTGGCAAGTGGCCTCATCATGAGGCATCATCTCTGAAGACAACAGCAAAGACGGGCAAGTTGTGGCTGTGTTTAAGATGCACAGATCGAAAATCCATTTTCTCTAACTATTAATTCACTCCAGGGTCACCAGGTGCTCCACATTCTCCTGAGCTCGGTGTGAATTTGTATCTTTAAATCATACTTGGTGTGTAACTGTGTCAGAGTGCGCCATGCTAAGGAGAGGAGTACCCAGGGGATACCCTTCTTGGTGCCCTGCACTTCTTAGGAAACACTGCAGACTCACTGTGACCCTGTACTGGATAAAGAGTTATGAAAGGTGGGTGGATGGATGGATGACACTGTTTTCTTGGGTCCAATTCAGTGACTGGGGAATTCTGAAATAGACACTGGGTAGGAGTGCTGTGAATGGTCAATCAGTGACAGGTTACATGTATACTAGGAGTGCAATGGTAGATGTATTTGTATCAATAATGTTTGGTAGAGGTCTTTTGGTGCAGTACGAATATGTACCGAATGAATGCGGCAAATGCAGAACCTTTGTGTTTTTTGCGTTTCGCAGAGCGACATTCGGAAAGGGACGGATGAAGCCGCACCACTAGGCATGCATGCATAGGTTTGGCGGACATAGATACAGTAAACCAGGATTTGAAGGTACACTTAATTTTGTTTTTTACATGTGTGCTTTAATGGATATTTATTTTACTTTTATTTACTTGAGAGAATATTTATTTTTAAATATTTTTTCTATTAGTAGGTTGCAGCAGTACTGAGAGACTTCATTTAAGACAGTCATACTTTGTTCAGTAAACCACTGTTTAATAAAGAGAAAGAAACTAGTAAAGTTGTTTCTTTTACCCCCACTGTACCAAAAACGTAACGAACCACGACTTCAAAACTGAGATACATACCGAACCGTGATTTTGATGTACCGTTACACCCCTAATACAATATATATATATTATTGGTTGTTGTATTAAGTTAGACCTCCTAGCACATTCCAAGAGAACATTGGGCCGTGTGCAAAACAAGCTCACCTTGGGTTTCTGTGGTGCGTTCCTGACGCTTGTGTCGTCTCCCTGCTCAGCAGCCGTGGCTGGGACCTGTTCGGCTGCTGTCTCTTGCCACAGAGCAGGACATGCTGTGTCTGACTCTAACCACTCAGCAGGGCAGTTCAGCGGGGGACTGCAACCTTCAAGAGAAACCAGAAACTATCTAGCAAAAAGATACCTGGCAAAATGCCTTCACACACTGACCGACTCAAAGACTGACCGTGCATGTTAAGGCAGCTCAGAATGAGATCCTCCTCATCCTCCGGGGGCGGGAGCGAAGGGGCATTGTGTTGGCCTCTCGGTCCACTGCCCGAGTGCCCCGTTTCACTCTGCCCCCTGCACCGATTCAGATTCTGCAGTGTTGGAGATGAAAGCAGTGTTTTAATTTGCAGTTTTGTAACAAGTGTATGTTTTTTCATTGCTCCTTCATCCTTTGAGGGGTATTAAAAGCATGATTTTCATATCTCCGTAAACCTTGATATGTGATACATTTTCCACCACTATCATCTCTTGAGAATTAGGCTAAAATGTCATAATCATATTCATTCGAGAAAGTACAGTACTGTATAATGTATATGATTATTACGTGTATTTAATGCTGGTAATGTCTTACTGTGGGTAACTTATCAATTATCATGCACAAGCACACGAAAATCACTTTTATATATGGGACCAGCAAATGGTTTGCTGTTATCTACGGTTTTGGCAGCTGTCATCCACAGATAGTGGGCAACTACTGTACATATAATCCTGGCTGTCTTTAGGAATAAAAATTAAACATGACACATTTGCATTCATACCTCAATGTACAAGTGGGCTGGGCTCTCGGAATTGTCTCCTATACGACGAACACTGTCATAATGGTCTCCATAGCGATAAGCAATGTGGAGCTCTCTGCACATGGGCTTATCAGAGCCATTTATCTGGGAAGACAAGGAAATTCACAAAGTATATAATTAATTCACTTAAGGAAACAAAGACTGCAGTCTTAATAACGGTAACAAGACTAAAAGCAAACAACATTATAGCTGTATTTCAGAAGCAAGAAATGTTATTCCTATAAATATGGAAAACCCTCTTTTCATTTATAACTGGATTCAGTGAGAATTCCTAAAATAACCAATTCCTATCTTTGTGCTAATTGATTTATCTAAATGTTTCTGAAGATTGGGTGCCTTTGAAATGAATAATGTGGATACAGTGTGGATGCAGCGTGACAATATAAGCAGCTGTACAAACACAAACAAACAAACACAAACAAACACAAACAAACACAAACACAAACAAACAAACAAACCAACAAACCAACAAAGCGGTAGGGGATTGGTCAGTACCTCCCAGAGGGGGGTGTTCAGCTGATGTATGAGCACACGCAGCTGGTGGCTCCGGGCGAAGGCCACGATGGCATCATTTCCTGCGAACGTCCCAGGCTGGGACAGATTGTGCACTGGCAGAAACAACAAAAACAACAACAGCATTCCTTCATCCATAACTGCTCATCCAGTGGAGATTTAGCAGGATCCTTTCACAAAAAACACAAAAATTATTGCCAAGACGCACCCACTGTTAAAGGAAGTACCACCAATGGCCTCTGAGCAGGTATTACTATCGTCCTGAAATGACACCTTCTACGTATGCTTTATCAACCTCACGCATTCTACTTCCCCCTTCCTTTCACTCATAGCCAAAGGTGACAGTGGCAGCATTTATAACTAACGGCTTGTAGCCAAGCATCCTGTCCCCCCTCACCCTCGTACAGTGCTGCGTGAAGGGCACGTCGTCCTCCACAAAGGGCTCGAAGTCCTGCCGGTGAGCCTGCATGTGCTGCACAGTCTCCTGCCGCAGCCGCAGGTGGCCCCGGGAGTGACCCTCAAGCTGGTCCGCCAGGGCACGAAACAAACAGTTCCTGCAAGTGTGAGGGAGGGTTTGGGACAGGACCACCACGCATCCGTAATGTATCCAGCCATGTATCCATCCAAAGCAAACAGATGCAGACACATACGATACCAGGCAAAAGTTTGGACACACCTACCCGTAGAAAGGTTTATTTGTGCTATTCTCTTAGTTTTAGAATAAAGACATCAAAACTATTAAATAATATACATGGAATTATGCACTAACCAATAAAGTATTAAACAAACTAAATTTTTTGGGGGGGGAAAGGAAGTTCTGTGGGTTGGGACTCGGTAGGTTGCTGGTTCAAATCCCTGGGTAAGCAGAGCAATCCCAAGACTGAGCCCTTGAGCAAGGGCCTTAACCCCAACTGCTCAATTGCTTCTCCAGCTGTCCTGAAGGAGGTCCCACATATGCTGATCACTCACTGGCCACCTTTCCTTCAATTTCTGGTCAAACTCCTCCAAAACCAATTCTACTGTTTAGGTCAGGTGGCCAGATCATGCGATGTGACACTCATTCACTCTCCTTTGCAGGCACCTTGATGTTTCCAAACTGTATATGCACATACACGTTCCCTTACCCATCTCCTGGGACCTCCCTAAGTTTGAGTCCAAGTGCCTGCAGCTGATTGGTGAAACTGAAGAACTCATTTGCTTCCTCCTCCGGCGGACGGTTCTTCCGGTCTTTGGCCAGCGCCCTGCGTGCTGCTCGTTCATCACGCTTCCTCTCCAGGTCACACTTGCGGTTTCCACGAACCGGCTTTCCCGACTGCTTCCTGGACATGGGCACGTGTTGGCTGACAGCTTCACCGAAGGACTCTACAGACATAAACACTCACACTTAATACATACAATTCAAACATTTGGCGGATCTAAACCCCTTTTTTTCAGAGACAGCAGAAGGAACCACATTTAAAAATGTAATTGTAAATGTAAGTCTTAGGCAGTCAAAATGAATGTTTAAAGTTATTTATTGGGGTAGCAAATGAATGTTTGTTTAGAACAAATACACTATGTAACATTAGAACAATCGCAAATGAAGAGCAACACAACAAAAACTTGTTACTGGTATTTTGTTGGATGGCTAGATGAACACCGCTTCAGTTCCCAGACCTCTCCTCAGGGACACCTCAGCCATTCCATGTATTTATTAAATTCTACCACCAGATTACTTCATTCAATTCAGTTCGTTAAAAAAAGAATCAATGACATATTCAATAACCACATTAGGTGCTTAGTGGTTGAGTCAAAAACACATCAATGTATTGGATGGTTGCTGCAAAGACTGGGGTGACCTCAGGAGAGGTTTTGAAATAGTTATAAAGCTGAGACAGTTTGACAGACAGAAAAATCAGTTGTACATCAACATGAAGACAATTTAAACATCTTGTTTGACTGCCTAAGTCTTTTGCACAGTACTCTACATTTACCTGGTATAAAATAGTATACTCTCATTAAGTCACTCTATACTCTAGTGACGGGTTTAAAAAACACTCTAAGCAGCTGTTAATCACATGCTTATTTAAAACCATTTCCATTTTTCCACTAGTCAGGCACATGGCAATGCTGCACATTGTGTGTTTCAAAGTATTATTTCTCCCATCACATCAGTGATTACTACCAATATGCCTGTAAAATCCTAATGACCCTGTTGTTTTACTCACACTTGTTAGTGTAAACCATGATAAGTGACGCAAATGCATAATTTTACTCAATGTTACTCTGCATATTCATCTACACCATATTAAAGCTGTTATTCACCACAAAACAGAATAAAAGATTTAAAAGACTAAAACCCCCACAGATTTTAAGCGGAACGCTGCAATTACACACACTAAATTCAACAGTGAGTACAACCCTTTCGAATATCACTAAAGGGTTAAATTATTCAAATTAGTATCATATAAAACACAACTACAATAATTTAATACAAATAATATTACACATTATTTAATATATTATTGAAAATAATCAGGTTATAAAGGCCATTAGAAATTACAGGCTCACATCCAGAAACTCATTAAAACTAAAGTGGAAACACCGGTGATGCAACTTTCGGTTAATTCTAAGTGCAGGTCGCTACATTAGACCATTTCATTGAAATAGATGTGGCTGGTTGACTGACTTTGTATCCATTTTATCATGCGACATAAACATCAGCATGAAAGCATACATGTGCACACAGGGCCAGTGTGACCCACATCTTTGCCCTCAAGCTTGGACACGTGTGTGGCATCTATACTAAGGGGTGCCCTCTTCTGCGGTGTTGTGTCAGAGCAGTAGGGAGATACTGATGTGATACGTGAGACTCAAAACAAATTAATCATGAGATAACATAGGCCTTCAGGTTACAATGTTAAGCTCACGTCTGTGTCACAGGTGACTTGCAGATTAATCGAACGAAACAGCTTCTGCTTGACCAAAGCAGTGCTCCTTTAGCACTGGGTGCCCGTACTGCACTCTGAGTCAACTGCCCAGATTACATTAGAGAAACTGGATATTGCTGCAAATTTAGTTTCTGCTTTTGGCTCAGAACACAGGGAAATGAGAAGTAGCGCCTTTCCAATTGTGTTATGGCATCCAGCACAGAAGGCAAGATGGAGCCGAAGGTTGGCTAGGCTATCCCTGACGTCTGCCATTCAGAACCTGTATATGTGGAGGTATTGTCAGAGTTTGTGTGTATGGTCTGTCTAATGTTGGGCCTACACCAGCATATAATTGTAAAAGAACAGCTTTTTGAAGCCTAAATAGGCTCACAGACCAGTGAGATAAGCAACAATGAATTTTGTTGATCACAGGGGAAATTCTTGTACATAGAATAGCAAGGTACGAGTAGCAGAGCTACTCCGATGCCAGTGCTGATTAGCAGAATAATGTTACATTATTTAGGTCTCTGTGGAAAGCATAAGGTCACCAAAATGATGAAAAGGTTACAAGGACAAGCTACTCAACAAAAAAAAAAAACTCTACTAAAGAATCAGCACAAAACTGCAAGTCTAACGTTTGCCAAAGAACTATGAATACTGGCAGCACATTCCCTGGTCAGATGAAACTAAGACAAACGTCTTTGGATCAGATGGAGTTCAGCATCATACATGGTGTCATGAATACTAGTGTATGCACCAAATGACGGAATAAACATCGGTCTCCAGTCCCAAGATGCTTGGCACAAAAGGAATGTGGCAACATGACAATGGTCCTAAAATAGATTTTAACACAGAGTAATGTGAAGACCTTCAACTGGCTAAGTATGCCACCTAACCTGAATGTTACAGAACACCTCTGAGAATCCCTAAATTGAAATGCAAAGAAGCACAACCCTTCCAGTGAACGGGAGTTGAAGAATCAACTGTAAAGAACAGAAAATATTTCTCCACAAGTCTGTGCTCCATTCGTATCACCCATGCTGAGAATACCAATGTACACATTTACTGTGTAAAGAGCATTACGTGCGATAATATACTGAAGCAGACGAGTAATCTCCGTCTGGAACTACAATATAAACCGTTTTTTGGTCATAAAACACACGGCACATTATGTATTCATATAACCTACAGAATGCTTCATCACTAACCATTTACTTATTATAAACTCAACTATATGAATCTCTTTCACACGTTATATATCGGACCTGGTAACAGAACGAAAGTTAGCTAGCTAATTAGATACCTGGGCCGAACTATTTTTTAAAGGTAAACTAGAAGTAGTAATTCTACTTAAACAAATAAAATACGTTCAACTACTCACATTTTTTCTTGGCAGAGATAACAAACAGTTTCAAAATTTAGAATAATAAAACACATACTCTACAATACTCTACGAGCTTTGTTTACCTTTTTCAGAGCTTCCCCGTTTTACTACTTCCGGGTATAAATGCTATTCATTGCTACGGTGGCCTGTAAGAGTCTAAATAGATATCGTCTATAATATTACGTGTGTGTGTGTGTGTGTGGTTTGCATAGATCACATTTTAGGACCAAATTGTCCCCAAAGTGTAGTAAAACCTGAAATTTCCCTACTTTTGGGGACATCTTTTGAGGTCCCCATTTGGATAACCTCAGTTTTATAAAAATATGTGAATGCAATAAAAAAAGTGAAAATGCTGAAAGTCTTGTATTTGGGTTGGTGACTTATGGTTAAGGATGAGTACAACCCAGGACAGGGGGGCCACCCATCGCAGGGCGCACTCACACATGCACACCTATGGGCAATGTCAGTAACCCCAATCAGCCTCAGCATGTCTTTGGACTGTGGGGGGAAACTGGAGTACCAGGAGGAAACCCCATGATGACATGGGGAGAACATGCAAACTCCACACACATGTAAACCAGGCAGAGACTTCAACCCAGGTCCCAGAGGTGTGACACAACAGTGCTAACCACTGCACCACCATGCCGCCCCCATCTATTGTCATATATAATTGAAATATGAAAAAATGCTTGATAGACTTTTATGAACCATGTTTTTTCATGTGGGTTTTGTCGCTTTTACAAAGCAGCGCATGCTACTTCACCTTTTTTATAGGCACGGTTTTTGGCAAACATGTAATTTATGAATGAATATGAACTGGGGAAATTCTCACCTTTATGACTATGCCAGTCCTCGAAATACTCATGTATAATACGATCAAATACAAGTAATTAAATTCTACATAATTATCATTGTTTAAAAATTATACAAATATATTTGCTCAGCCCAGGGTGAGCCTGGAGCCTCACATGTAGAAAGTCACACACAGCATGTAATTTAGAGACATACAGTATACATCCAGCTTCATGTTACTGGACTATGGAAGAAAAGCAGAATACCCAGAGAAAGCTGTAAAAATCAGAAAGGATACCCACAGGATAACCACCAGATTGGGTCAGCTAGTTTATTTGTTTTTAATTGTCTTTTATTGCAAAAGGAAAATAATGTGAAACAACATAATTCAATAAAATTTGCTGAAACTGAATATGAAAAACCTCAAAATGAAACATACAAAAGAATTAAATAAAAAATAATATAAATGAAATAGTTGAGAAAAGCAACTGACAAACATGCCTGTTCACAAGCCCCTTGCAACATAAAAGCAAAATTAATCAAGAACACAACTTTAACAGACCATCATATTTTCCTAACTAACTTTCTTTTATGTATTTAGCAAGAAACTGTATTGAGGCACAGTAATATTCTGGTAGGGAGAATGAGACTCGTTACTCACTGGTTATTATAATAAAACATGTATAAACGAAATGGACCACGTGGTGTTTCAGTGGGAAAAGCTGTTGTCTGCCGTCTCCATGGCTGGGAGCTGGAACCCCACCTTGTGTGTGTGTGTGTGTGTGTGTGTGTGTGTGTGGGTCTCTCTAAATCGCCTGCAGTGTATAAATGTGAGTCTGTATTACCGTCCTGTGATGCACTGGCATCCCCCCCATTGTACTCCAGCCTCGTTACCAGTGTTTACTGGGATTGTCTCCAGGTTTGAAGATGGATGTAAGAACATTTCTATGTAACAAAATGTTGCTCTGCAAAGACATCTAGAAATAAGTTTCAAAATAGTTTATTTTTAATTAGCAAGAAGAAAACTCATGACAATCCATTTTGATATACCGTGGTGTTATTGCTCTTTTAAATTTCTTCCCTTTAATTTGCATTTATCCAATTAATCAACAACTATGTGTTGGTTGATCTACATATTGCAAAAGATAGTATCATTTGGAACAAATTTTGAAAACACCTATTTTTTCTTACTCAGAGTAAGATTTGCAAATATTCTCATTCATTAACCCTGACAAAATAAAGCTAGAGGCTGACATAGGCCTACAATAGTGAATAAAAATTAAACCTGTCATCGTTAAAATAGCAGTAGTCACATATTTTTTGGAGGGAGTTAAGAAATTTACCGCATTCCATAATCGGCTCCCTGTTTTGATGATTCACTAATGAATACAGTGCTGAAGCTTGCAGATTTCAGTAAACCTCTGAATTTCATTAAGCTCAGTGGTAATTTCTTTCCTCTTTAATGGACTTAATAGTCCATAAAAGGACTGTGCTTTTTTCTGCATAGGATGAACAGCAGTAATGCTATTTTATATTGCACAAGTAAAATCTTCGCAAATGTCTCTAGAATCGATCAAAAATACCAGCATATAGACACCTCCTGGCATAATAGTAATAAATTAAAGACACTGTGACCACTTGTTTAAATAGTGAACTGAACAAAATAAAAACAATTTCAAAACCACAATAACGTAGAATTTCATATATCATAATCATATATCTTACTAGCTGCTCTGCATTTTAGATAAACACTTTCTTCTAGCGAGCTTATCTAACATTTTGTGTAACCGATTATCATTCATCCATCTCATTCTGATCAAGGTTGCGGGGATTGTAATAAGCTACCATTTTATCAATGTACACAGATTTTTGCTTAAATAGGAATTCTGAACAAAAATTATGTTTTTTGTAAATTATCACTGTTGTATATCCACAGGGCATTTTATTAAAGTTAAATTACTAAGAAAGATGTTTTGTTAACTTAAAAGAGGTTACTTGTCTGCAATGGGCACCACTAGAGATTTTGAGCCCCATGAAAGCATTTTAGGCCCCCAACCCAGAACAATCCAATCATGGTCAAAATTTTTAGTGCCCCAGTCACTCTGTTTGTTTGCTTTTAATGCAGTTCTGGAAGCAAACATAAGTCCTATTGGGTACTAGCTGGGTGTACCCAATAAAGAGGGTCTCACCGGGTACTAGCTGGGTGTACCTAATAAAGTGGCCACTGAGCACATGCCTTTTTGAAATATCATCAGTACATCATTGTATTTACATCGTAATCATCATTTGAAATGCCCGTTGGCAGGGTGGTCTAGGGCAAGGGGAGACCTGGGACTCACAACCCTCTCCATGAGATGGAGCTCAAGATTTAAAAATAAAAAATCTGGCCATCTATTTCGTTCGAGGTACATGAGCTCTGTGTCCATGGTGACTCTGAATTTGGTGTTTCATGTCAACAAAACCACATTATATATAATACATATATTGAACAAAACATGACAAAAAGATACAGCGTTTTGCTATAAAAATTTGGGGCTTGAGCCTCACTAGTCTGACACAGTGTGGCCACTGCTGTCTGGGAACAGAATGAAACCAGTACGCAGCTGTTTGGGAACAGAATGAAACCAGTACGCAGAAGCCACAGGTAATCGAAACACAAAAAAACCTGCAACTTTTATTACTTAAAAAAACTAAAAAAGTACTATTTGGGGTAGATTAACGCTACAGTAAACGTGATGATCACCAAATAAAATAATCGGAATTGTTTTTACAGTATATTATGGAATTCCCCTTCATGCAGTTCGGGTCGGACACCCAATTCTCTTCTGTTACCAACCAGCTGAGGCCACGATTTTACTACAGAGTTGGTCAAAGATCGGTGCAGAAGGCAGCATTTTCTTGCCGGCATTCCTTAATGCACCCAACACATTGAGAATATTTCATCACAAAATATCCCCATTCCCTTCTATGCTTCCAAAGCTTTCTTGCAGACAGGTCAGTTAGTAGAAAAAAATATAATTTAATTTTAAAAAATGATATCATTGTTTTGCGTTTAAATGGTTAGTTATTTGCATTGTATGGTGTTCTAATTCAATTAGACAAAATCAATAACATTACATAGTTGTCATAAAATACTGAAAAAAGACAACAAATGCATTGCATGGCTTCAAATTAAGAAAGGAAGTTCAAAAAAGCCACGAAGGCTCGTCATCTGTGAGTTTCCTCAAATTCCCTGCAGAAATTCTCCGTCTCCCTTCTGGACAGCCCCTTGGAGAGGCACCGTCCTGCTAGCTCCTGTGCCAGTGGGCCTGCAGTGCCATGTGGGGGCAGTACACTGGGGCACCTCTGCCTGCTGCAACCTGAACTTTGCCGCAGCTTGTTGGCCTCAAAACACTGGAAAGGCAGTGAGTGTGTGTTGGTGGGGCTTGGGGGGGCGGTTACACAGATGAGGAGATGGAACATGCCAGTGCCGTATTGCTGGTTGGAAGTGAAGTCTGAAAGGGCTGGTTTTGTATGCACTGCATGGTCGGCTTGCCTTACAGCAGATGGTAGAAATAAAAAAGTGCACTGAAGCTGTGCTTAAGTTCACACACACACACACACACACACACACACACACACACACACACAGTACTGGGATCTTAGCTTCCCATGGTGTGGTGAGCTACAGGAATGCACATGGGGCTGTGGTTAGATGGCATTGCAAAACACTCCATTTTTTTTTTTTTTAAATGTTGCTCTTAAATATTGGAATCCAATCTAAAAAAAGTAAGATTTTACAGCTGACTGTTGCACTGCCTCACAGGGAAGATTTAGCGATGTCTGGACACTAATCCGGGTTCATACAGGAAACACCGCATGCAGAATTATTAGGTGGGTGTGTATTTTGCGTGTATCTGCTCTTCCCCTTAATAGTTTCAACCCAGATTAAGCTCTAATTAAGAATGGGCTGTTTAAAAACAGAGCATGTTCAGTGTCTTATCTGATTGCATCCTATTTGGAGTAAAACAGGAAACCATAGATATTTCTCTGTGCAGAATAAATAAGCAAATTATTATTACTATTAAAGACAAATTAAAGCTTGACTGGTTCAATGGACAACAAGCTTATGATGGTCATTGAGAAGGAAAGTGGCTACACAGGACCTCAAACTTGGTGAAGTGGGCTGTACAGAATGCTCATGGGAGTTCTACTTACACAAAAATGTTCTGAGGGGAGAACAAGAAATAATTGGTTCAGAGAGTCAACCTATCACATTGTAGAAGAGGTAGGTCCTAGTAATTTGAGAAGGTGGGACCAAGATATCTGACTGGTTGGTCCCACCTCCTCTAGTTGCTTGGACCCACCTCTTCTACAATCTGATTGGTTTTCTCTCTGAACCAATCATTTTTCGGTCTGCCCTCAGAATATTTTTGTGTAAGTAAAACTCCCACGAGCGTACAGGATGCCCAATAATTCATTATTCCTTACATAGAACTAAGACTTTTTTATTATTATATCTGTTGATGGTGAAGAGAGAAAAATCCACTTTAAAAAAGTTTCTGATTGCCTAATAACTGTATACACTATTAATCAAGTGTTTCTCTTTTATTTTTTTTGTGGTAGACTAATGTAACATTTTCCTTCTACATAAATTTGCTTGGACCAAAAGAAAATTCCTGAATTCACTTTTATAAGTCTTTCGCAAAAAAAAATAAAAAATCCAGGAGTAGTACTTACTTAGGAGTAGCCTAATAATTCTGCACACAGTTTACATTGTGAGTGTTTTACTGTAGGTACTGGTCTGCAGACTGGTACTGGGGGGTTAGATGGATTCTCCCCCACCTTCCCATTTTTGTATGATGTAAACCAGTCTGCGGACATCAGAATGTTTTACAGGGTTCCAAGTAAGAAGATAGTATTGATGGGACAAAGGCTTTCTATTGTCTATCTGGTCTCTGGCTTTTTGGGTCGCCAGGGTTGCAAAGACACAAGTTTACTATGGTAAATGCTACTAACATAAAGGTGTGAATACAGTACAGAGCAAACTGCAGTCTTGCTTGTATGCTGGAAAAGGTACACATTTGGTATCCTGATCAGTCTGTAGTATATGCAACTTTAATCATGTCACAGTGTGTAATGGGAGTGGAAAGGCAGGAAAGAATGTTTTACAGGGAGGAATGTCAATTCCATCCAGCATAAACTCGAGCTGGCAGTCCATCACTCAGAGAGTCTTTCAGAGTGTATACAGGTTCAGGAAAAGGGACAGAGGGGGATGCATCACCATTTTGCTGGCATCTGTTCTTTGTTCTCTTTTCCCCCAGTTGGATATGTTTAAAGGAGATGCTCTTTTCATTGCTTCAGATTTTCACAGTGTGCTTTTGGAGGTGGTCAAGCTAGGAATGGGGACTGAGTGTGTTTTGTTTACATGTCAGTAAGGAGAAAAGAGAATTGGCCCATGGGATGTGCGAATGGGCCCCGGAGCGGGTCGGAGGACGGCATGGCTGAGGGGCGGGGCCTGCAGCAGATGATGGTGGAGATGATGGGCGGGGCCTGCAGCCCGGAGTGCCAGGGGATTGGAGGAGGCAGCGGCTGCCATCGCTGCAGCAAGAGCCAGGGGATTGGGCAGAAGGGCAGCCCCCAAAGCTTTGGTGAGATCCTTAGAGAAGGACAGGGAGGTCTGAGTCAGGAAAAGGCGTGAGAAATGTGGAGAGTCCAGAGAAATTGGCATGAAGGAGAGAGAAAAGGGGAAATTAATCATTAAAACTATGGAACTCGCAATAAATATCATAAAATAATTCATTTTTTCCCCTTTTTTTCAAAATAAGCAATACCCCTGCTAACTAACCATTTCTATTAAAAAGAACCATTGCTTATGGATGTGTATACAACCTTAACAATACAATCAAAGTCTGCATGTTCCTCCTGAGTTTCTGTGAGTCTAAAACTGTCTATGAAACAGTTCAAGTTTTGCTTGTTGTGTACGATGAGCAAATGTGGATGACAGTGCTTCCTGTCTGACTGAAATTACAGTACATCAATAATGAAAATGGGTGGAAGGAGAAATTTGTATCTCTCTCTATATATATAACACATATATATTCTTATGGAAATGGTTCTTAATGATAATGCATTTGATTTCTGAATGATTTTACAAGAGGAGTTGAGGATGCAGTTTTACCAAAGCAGGCCTAAGTTGCCAAATGATTAATAAACGGGTTTTGGGACAGGCAAACATTACCGTGAGGTCTGCAACCCTGTGTTTTTTGTGACGACTGAGGAGGGGGTTGGGCTTCCCAGCGACCCCGTCCCGGTGCCGCCTGCTTGATATGTGCTGCAGTGGGGGGGGGGGGGGAGACAGAGAGGAGTGAAGGTTCCATGTGTATCACATTACGCCAGAGTCAAGGGACCAGGTGCAGCTTGTTTTAGTACTCTGACAGTCATCCCAGCAAATCGCCACTTTCGCCTGATGTCTATTGGAAAAGGACTCTCTGGGAAATGGAAAGCTGACAGGTTACACAGATCTAAAATGAAATGTGCAGAGATAGACTCAAGTGCGGAGGATGGGTGAACAAAGGAGACAGGGACTTGGAAATAAGACCCAGCTGGGGACAGGACTCTGCTAACTAGTAACTGAAGGTGAAACTACAACAAACTCGAGTACTGGTGGCAGGAATCCAGTGAAGAAGAAAAAAACGGAACCAGAAAACCCACTGATACACAAAAGACAGGTTCACATGAGTGGCATATGGCTTTACATCTCCATCTTGTCTGGAAAACAATGAAATTCTCATTATATAGCTCCCGGTACGTCTATCTCCGAATGTGGTCACAAGGACCGTGATGTGAGCATTCGCGAGCATTAGAGGACAGCCATAAGATGGGAAGTTGAATTTGTTGTCATCTATATGAATGCCTTGCTCACCTGCAGGAAAGCATGAATACAACAGCCTGACCACATGGCAAATTATGTGTTTGTTTGGCTTTGAGAGGTATTCCAAAACGTGTTTTCAAAAACTGCGGAAGACAGGTCTGTGACTAATGTCTACACATCCCTGTACACTAGTCTGTCGATCACCACATGTTTCCAGGTCAAAAACAAGATTATGAATGGATAATGCTTTATTTATTTATGATTCTTGAAACAACTCTTCACAGACCCCCTCAACCGCTGGCACATTTCCTACCAGGCATAATAATCTAATCTACATACTCCACAGAGTTCATGCCCACCTGATTTCATGCCCAGGAGTGATTTAAACAGAACAACAAGCCATTATCACAGCTCAGTTGTGTAGCTTGTTTATGGCAAGTTAACATTTCTTTCTTTCATATTTTTCACATTGTGCCCCTCTGGGCATTTGTTTCTTATTTGATTTTGATTTTCTGTTTGTTCTTCCAGTTCCTAGTCTGCCCCCTGCTGGGTCCAGCTTCCCATTTCCTGGTTTTTGTTTCTTGGATGGTTTCTGTCTCCTGTGTTCACCCTCCCTCCACACTTGAGCTTTTCACCTGTCCTACCAGGTGTGTATGATTGGTTGCCTGCTTTTCATTTCCATCAGTTGGGCAGTTGGTGGCAGTTGGGTGGGACAGTCCAATTTGGGTTGATACCCATTTTGTTCACTTACCTTTCTGATAATAACAGAAGTTGCAGCAAGTTCTCTGAGTCTGGTGCAACATTAATGGCAAAAATAATCCATCCATCCATCCATCCATCCATCCATCCATCTTTCATTTTAAATCTGTTGTTGGTCTTATAAGTCTGTCACGGTGCAGGTTTTACAGTCAAGTCCATTCATATACAGATGCTCCTCTACTTATGAACCTTCAACTTATGAACTTTCAGACACAAAGAGGACTGTAAGTCCAAAATGTGTTCCTTGGGCTTCCGTTTCCTGTCCACAACATCAATTTTTTTTTCTGCGCATCAATCCCACTTAGTACGACTTCTGGCCATTATTCCCACCGCGCAGCAGCGTAGCGTGCGTACTCCCAGCATCCTAGCTCTTTGTACTTGCGTATACCCTTAAAATGATGTTGAATAACGACTTACGAACATTTTAGGTTACGAATGGCCATTCGGAACGTAACTCATCCATGAGTAGAGGAGCGTATGTATTTATATAGTATGTAATTTTCTATTACACCTGTTTTCCTACATGAACTGAATTCTACTCGAGTGTCTCTCACCTGTTTGAGCTGCAGCTCTGAGTTGACCCTCACATTGCAGATCTCACAGTGGAAAGTGCGTTCCTGAGTATTGGGGTCAGTCACTGTCCCTCCCTGCTCACTGATTGGCTTAGGGCCCAGCCGAGGGTACGCCTTGATGGGGCCTAAGCCACTCCGAGCCTCCAGGATGGTTTTGTGTTTCGTACCTGAGGTGGGACACAGACAACAAAAGAGACTCCTGAGGTTGCAGAAAAAACCAGGCCCCTAGCAGAACAGGCAAGTCAGCTGTTCACCTACAAAAGATTGAAATGAATAAAAAAATCACCACAGCAACACATGGGTAAAGAACTCCCTTCCCCATTTACACATTAATCTATGCTATAATTCAGCTTCTCCAAACACTCAATCTTGTAGTCACCAGGACTATTATAGACTCTCCATGATCCTGCACTGGTGGCGTTACAGTCTACGCTTCCACATTCAGGGATTTAGGGACTCAGGCCCCTGCGGGGCCACATCAAATTCTTTGGTCTCATTGACGAGGGAAGCAATCATGCCAATGGAGCAAAGCAAGATGATGCGAGAAATGTGGGATACAAAGATCACTGTGAGATCACTCGCGTGAGAGGCTGACATAAACACGCTTGGCGCACTGTACATATATTTTATGCATTTATGAATTACTAAACTGAAGGCTTATTATGAAACAAATACAACAAGACTATTCAGTCACTTGGTACTAACTGTTAGAAATTAAATCACAGACAAGCTGAAGACATTTTGTCTTATTCTTCACATCTGACATTATATCTCAGAAATTCGTTCACATCTAAGTCTGTAACAATCTGTAACAAACAGTCCCCCCACAGTTCAAATACATGCTGAGGTTAATTGGAGTTACCAAATTGCCCGTGTGTGTGTTTTGTGTGTGTGAGTGAATGGTGTGTAAGTGAATGGTGTGTGAGTGAATGGTGAGTAAGTGAATGGTGTGTGAGTGAATGGTGAGTAAGTGAATGGTGTGTGAGTGAATGGTGAGTAAGTGAATGGGGTGTGAGTGAATGGTGAGTACAGTAAGTGAATGGTGTGTGAGTGAATGGTGAGTACAGTAAGTGAATGGTGTGTGAGTGAATGGTGAGTACAGTAAGTGAATGGTGTGTGAGTGAATGGTGAGTACAGTAAGGGAATGGTGAGTACAGTAA